GATGTTTTGAACCCTTTGAGGACGATGGTTTCAACCCTTTGAGGATAATGGTTGACGACTTAACCCCTTGAGGACGATTAACTCCGTTTTTGAAGACGACGATTTTAACCCTTTGATGACGATGTACCCCTTTGATGACGATGTACCCCTTTGAACGAGGATAGTTAAACCCCCTTGAGGACTATGGACTAAAGACACAGTGGATAAAACAACATGACAAAGACAACATGACAAACACAACACGACACAGACAGGAGCAAGAATAACCAGATGTGGGGTCGTGTTCTCATTATGGGGGGGGGGGGGGGGGGACTTAAGCAACTTTGAATATTTTCCTGTTTTCCGATACTGAGAACTTTACTCCTCTCTCAGTTCACCAATAGTTGGCTCTGTGTCTCAGTCTTTCTCACTCTTATCTCTAGGTTTTATCTTGAGAACTTTCCCAGCGATGGTTTAACATGAGAATGGTTTAACATGAGGATGGTTTAACATGATAAGGGTTTAACGTGAGGATGGTTTAACATGAGGATGGTTAACGTGAGGATTGTTTAAGTTTAGGATAGTTAGATGGTTTAATAGGGTGATGGTTTAATAGGGTGATGGTTTAATGTATCCTTAGTATGGATATGTATGTTTGTGTGTAAATGTATGTTTGTGTGTTTGTGCGTCCTCTCCTCTCCCTCCAGCTCTCACCTCTGCATAAACATTCACACGTAAAAATACACGCGAATATTTCTGCCACATTCACTGACTCTCTCCCTGAAACAATAACATTATCCTAAATATAAACATTGTTGAACACAGCCGCCCTCTGTTCCTGTGAGATACTGGCTCACTTGTACACCAGAGAGAGAGAAAGAGAGAGAGAGAGAGAGAGAGAGAGAGAGAGAGAGAGAGAGAGAGAGACCTAACAAGGGACCTTCGCGACTGGCTAATCAAAACAGACCGAGATTGGCGACTCCGGACTGATGGTGATTTGCTCAAACGCTGTACGTGCGAGAGCCGAGTCTGATTACTATTCAGGAGATAATGTCAGAACCATGAACCCACAGTTGTACCTACATTACCATACGCACATGTGTAGGTATTCACATAAGCGTACACATATGCACTGATGCATTAACATACGCTCATGTGTAGGTATTCAGATGAAGGTATAGAGGGAAGGTGTACAGACAGAAACAGACATGCTGATATCAATATTAGAATACGCACATGTGTAGGTATTCACATAAGCGTACACATATGCACTGATGCATTAACATACGCTCATGTGTAGGTATTCAGATGAAGGTGTAGAGTGAAGGTCTACATACAGATACACACACACACGCGCTGACATCTATATTATCATACACACTTACGATACGTACATACACGGTCATGCTCATTATCATACGCACATGTAAGGTATTATTTGACTGTATGCGTACAGTGTAGGTGTTTGGACAGACACACACAGGTACACATGCACGAATCCATCCATACTTCAATGTATCTGTCTTATTGTGTGTCTGTTTGTCTGCCTGTCTATCTGTGTGTGTGTGTGTGTGTGTGTGTGTGTGTGTGTGTGTGTGTGTGTCTAGTAATCTGGCCAGGAGCATGCGAGGCGGTGGAGAGGTTGCCAAGGAGGGCTTTAATGCACCTCTTTAACAGTCAATGGCGGTGAGATGGCAGGATATGAGAGAGAGAGAGAGAGAGAGAGAGAGAGAGAGAGAGAGAGTGAGTTAATTAATCTATCTCTTAGTGTTTGAGGAAGAACCTGAAGTTAGATTAATTTTTACGACCTGTTTCTCTATGCGAGTAATTAACAATGCCTTGGCACCTGTTTTGTGTTCACTTTATCCCCACATCAGCTCTTGAACACCTGTTACACCTGTGTCTGCGTGTGAGTAATTAACAAAATCTCTGGGCACTTGTTTTGAGTGTGTTTTCGTCTCAAGACTCATTTACATACAATCTATGAACACCTGTTTTGTTTACCTCGAATAACCACTGAACACCTGTCCTTGTACACACACACACACACACACACACACACACACACAAATAAAAAAATAAAAAATAAGCAAAATCCCTTAATTTTCGTTCCTCCTCTTATACATTATCAAGGACATTCCAAACTCCTGATTATCGTCATCCTTCGCTCCCATTATCTCTCCTCCCCTCCCTCCTCCCTCCCTCCCCTCCCCTCCCTCGACCCCTACCTGGACTCATCGTGCTAAGAAATTCCTTCTTCTTGGTGGTCACAGTGACGCACCAAGCTTCAAACTTGCTCCCTCTGGCCAAGTCCTTCACATCAGACGACCACTGAGGGTTATTGTATTACTAAAAAGCAATTAGGGAGTTGAAGGAGAGAGAGGACCGTGGGCACCAAGTTTGTAGGAGGAGGAGGAGGGGGTAGGAGGAGGTAGAAAGGAAGAGTCAAGGAAGGCTTTTACAAATTTATACAGAGGTAACTTTTCTCATGTTTTAGACAAGAGGTAAAGAAGAGGATTGTTGGTGTGGTTAGGTTAGGTTAGTAAGGGGTGGTGTGTGGTAGGTAAGAGGTAACAGGGGGTGGTGGTTGTGGTGGGTAAGGGGCGGTCTAGACAGATGATGAGAGAGAGAGAGAGAGAGAGATAATGTCATATTCTCATTAAACTTCAAGGACTCCAAACTCAAATTAACATCATCATCATCGTTTAGATAAGCAGGAAATAATTAAGTTTACCCTCTTATACCCAACAGAAAACGAGAGATGGGTAACTAACGCCCAAAAAAAGAACACCGGAACGACAAACAGACAAATTACTATGTACTATACCGCTCTGAGATAAACTTTTACCAAACTTATAGAAAATGTGTTTTTGTTTGGGGTAAATCTTGTAGGTAGAGAGTTTGTGTACATGAGGAGAAGAGAGAGACAAATAGACAGTCATTAAGAGAAAGTGGGACAAAAATGTGGATCGACTAATTAAGGCAGAAATGTTGTTGCTTAATTTTTTGGTGTTTTTTTTGTGATTCTGGAGATGAGTTCAAAATATTAATCAGGATATGTGTGTGTGTGTGTGTGTGTGTGTGTGTGTGTGTGTGTGTGTGTGTGTGTGTGTGTGTGTGTGTGTGTGTGTGTGTGTGTGTGTGTGTGTGAAGAGACAGAAAGAGAACCATGAATCGACTCCAACAATAGAAAATTCGCATGGAAACATTTTTACCAATCTAAATTCGTCCAGCTGAAAAAAAAAAAAAACGCAGAAATAATCACAAAAAATTTAGGAAAGTTTATGAAAGAAAAAATACTAAAACAGATGATAATTACCTCTAGGGCCCTTGGTATCATGGGAGAGGGAGGGACGGGAGGGAAGGGGAAGGAGGGAGGGGATAAGAGAGAGGGAACCTAGAATGTGAGGAAAGGGGATGAAGGGAAGCGAAGAAAAGAGGAAATGGTAGGGGAGAGAAGTGGACTTAGAGATGAAGGGATATGGGTGAGGGACAGAGAGAAGGAAGAAGGAAGGGAGGGGGAGGGAGCGTCGCCACCACAAGAGGAAGACAAATGGATAACAAACTATAGTATCACCTTCCTTTGTCTTCCTCCAGGCACCAACTTCATCTTAATTTCTGGCTTTACTCTGACGAATTCCCTGGGTCGAGTTTTATCTTCTTTTTTCCTTTTCTTTACTCCAGGCTGCTATTACTGTCGTAGGGTGTAGGGAGGGGGTAGTGGTGTAGGGAGGGGTAGTGGTGTAGGGAGGGGTGTAGTGGTAGGGAGGGGGTAGTGGTAGGAGGGGGGGGAAGGGGTGTAGGAGGTGTGGGGGAGGGGGAGGGGTGTAGGGAGGTGTGGTGTAGGGGAGGGGGTGTAGGGGAGGAGGTGTAGGGAGGGAGGGGAGGGGTGTAGGGGTGGGGAGGGAGGTGGTGTAGGGGAGGGGTGTAGGGTGTGTGTAGTGGTGGGGAGGGGGTGTAGGGGTGTAGGAGGGGGTGTAGTGTGTAGGGAGGGGGTGGTGTAGGGAGGTGTAGGGAGGGGTGGTGTGGGAGGGGTGTGGGAGTGTGTAGTGGGTGTAGGAGGTGAGGGGAGGTAGGGAGGGGGTGTAGGGGAGGTGTAGGGAGGGGTGTAGTGGTGGGAGGGGTGTAGTGGTGTAGGGAGGGTGTAGGAGGGGGTGGTGGTGAGGGAGGGGGTGTGTGGTGTAGGGAGGGGGTGTGGGTGTAGGGAGGGGAGTGTAGGTAGGGAGGAGGGAGGTGTAGTGGTGTAGGGAGGTGTGGTGTAGGAGGTGTAGGAGTGGGGGTGGTGTAGGAGGTGTAGTGGTGTAGGGAGGGGGTAGGGGAGGTGTAGGGTGTAGGGAGGGGTGGGGAGGGGTGGTGTAGGGAGGTGTAGTGGTGTAGGAGGTGTAGTGGTGTAGGGGAGGTGTAGGAGGGGGGAGGAGGGTGTAGGAGGGGGTGTAGTGGTGGGAGGGGGTGTAGGTGTAGGGAGGGGGTGTAGGGAGGGAGTGTAGTGGTGTAGGAGGGGGTGTAGTGGTGGAGGGGGTGTAGTGGTGAGGAGGATGGATGTGATGGGTGTTGTGTTGGGTGTTAGAGAGGATGGTAGTATTGTCTCACTGCCACCACCACCACCACCACCACCACTACCACTACCACCGTTCCACCACCACCACCACCACCACCACCACCACCACCACCACAATAACCACCACCACCACCACCACCACCACCACCACCACAACAAAACCACCACCACCACCACCCCACCACCACCACCACAATAACCACCACCACCACCACCACCACCACCACAATAACCACCAACAAAACACCGCCACCACTATTGTCTCTCATCTTTACACGACCATCTGTCCTTCACCATATTGTATCACCCTCCTACCATCCCCTTTCATCCCTCCCTACATCCCTCCGCCTCTCTTTCAACCCCCTTAATCATCCATCCCTCCGTCGCTCCCTCCTTCTCTACCCTCTCCTCCACTCTTCCCTCCCTCCCTCCCTCCCTCCCTCCCTCCCTCCCTTCATCTCACCTTGTCACGGATCTCATAGTCGAGGGTGGCAGCGAGGGTGATGATGCCAGTCCGCTGGTCGATGGTGAACAGTCCATCCTTGTTGCCTCCCGTGATGGTGTACCGGACCTCCTCACCTGTGGCGGCCAGAGACACCTATAATTAGTGTTGTTGGCCAGGTGAGGTAAACACGTTGATGGCATATATGGGGGAGAGAGAGTTGGGGGAGGTTAGTTAGAGAGGGGAGGGAGAGAGGTTGAGAGAGAAGGAGGTTGAGAGTGAGAGAGAGAGAGAGAGAGAGAGAGGGAGGTTGAGAGAGAGTGAGAGAGAGAGAGTAATGTCAATAATGATAATTTTACTAACAGGTGACATGTCCTCGAACTCTGTCATCATCCTAATTAAAATAATCTGATTGAAGCAGATATTAAATTATTCTGTCCAGTGGGGGAGGGGAGAGGGTTGAAAGGGGAGGGGGGTGCAAGATGAATAGGGGTGGGGGAGGAAATAAGGGGGGGTGGAGGCGAAAAAGGGGAGGCAAAAGAGGAGAGGGGAAGGGTGAAGAAGAGGGGAGAGGAATAATGGGGGAGGAGGAAAAGGCGTTAGTAAATTCTCACAGCCAAGTTGCAAGAAATTGGTTCATTCATTCATGTGTCATAGCATTTAAAATTTTGGGGTTTTACTTCTACTACAAATAATAATAATAATAATAATAATAATAATAATAATAATAATAATAATGGAGGAACAATTTATTTCTTTATATTTCTACAATTCGTCTAAAGTCTACGGATATGTAGCCTCACATTTCACTACCAAACCAAACCTAACCAAACTTAACCTAACCAAACCTAATCTAACCAAACCCAATATACTAATCATACCTACTTTACTACTTAAGGTACGCTGAAATTTAAAGTTTATATACAGGGTGATATAAAAAGAGTAGCCAGTTGTATTTTATTTTTGTTGGGTGACCCTGTATGGTTGTATTGTGTCGGGGTTACTCACTCACTGGTGGTCACGGGGTGTTGCTGCTGGTGTTTTGTTTATTTTATAGTAGCATTTTTTATGTTATATTCTTAAGCTTTTGTTTGTTTGCTTGTTTGTTTGTTATTTGATTTTCGTGTGTGTGTGTGTGTGTGTGTCTGTCTGTCTGTCTGTCTGTCTGTCTGTCTGTCTGTCTTAAATAAAACGGATGATCAATTTATTCCCACAAAAAGAAAACCGATTGAGGGGACCGACATACACACACACACACACACACACACACACACACACACACACACACACACACACATACATACACTTGGTAAAATTGCAAACACAAATAAAATTGGGAGATTTATGTAAGCAATAAATTTCTCCCATCAGAGTAACACTATACTGCCCTGAGCATATCATAGGTTGGGGGGGAAGTCAGGAGGGGCATGAAGTGAGGAGAAAGGGTGATGACGTGGCCTGATGTATAACCTTCTAAAATTCCATTTACTGGGCTTAGAAACGCACACACACACACACACACAGACACACACACACAGACACACACACACACAGGCACACACACACAGCCGAGTACTGTTCCCCGACCTATGTGACTTTAGTGATTGTTTTTTTTTAACCACGTGAGGGAGTTTTTATTAATTATATTTTACCATCAATTTATCATCACCCTAAAATATGACTCTCCACCTCCGCAGTAACTCAATATTTTATCATTTTAATTTTTGTTATTTATTTTTCTCACCCAAATGATTAAATGGTCCTTAAATAATTTGTTCTATAAAGTGTAACTATAATGATATATTTAATTGATTCTTTTATGATATACTAGTGAAATAATAACCAAAATGGCGTCAAATATAACCCTGAGACTATAGCCGTGGAAGGACGAGGCGATGAGAAAGAAGAAAAAAGTAGAGAAAGTTGATTTGAAAGAATAAGGGAATGAAAGATAATAGTGAAAAAAACAAAAGAGAAAGGAGGTGGAAGGTTACGATAAAAGAATCACGAATGAGCAACATGGAACAGCTCAAGGAACACTAGTGAGGAACGGTGTGTCATGGAACAGCTCAGGGAACACTAGTGAGGAACGGTGTGTCATGGAACAGCTCAGGGAACACTAGTGAGGAACGGTGTGTCTTGGAGTAGTTCAGGGAACACTAGTGAGGAACGGTGTGTCATGGAACAGCTCAGGGAACACTAGTGAGGAACGGTGTGTCTTGGAACAGCTCAGGGAACACTAGTGAGGAACGGTGTGTCATGGAACAGCTCAGGGAACACTAGTGAGGAACGGTGTGTCTTGGAGTAGCTCAGGGAACAGTAGTGAGGAACGGTGTGTCTTGGAACAGCTCAGGGAACACTAGTGAGGAACGGTGTGTCATGGAACAGCTCAGGGAACAGTAGCGAGGAACAATGTGTCAGGCTGTATCGGTTCACACACCGCTAGGCCCAGTGTCACTCTGGAGTCGCTTTAACCTGCACAATACTCTCTGTTTAAAACCTCTAATATTTTGTATACACCTGTCATATATGTGATTTATATATGAATTTGTATATAAGTATGTATATATAGCTTACTACATGTATATATTAATATGTATACGTGTACAGTATATACCTGGAATACTTTTTTATATGTATGGCATGTATATTCCTGTAATACATATTTTGAAATGTATATACTTTATGTATATTCATATATCTAATTTACATCATAACACAAAGACAGATGACTTTGTATAAACTCTTATTTTTCATAAGTTTACACTTTGAGAACACAGTGTTATTATATACAAGCATCATATATATACATGTTGGTGTGTGTTAATTGGGTTAGAATAAATAAGTAACTTCAATAGACGAAAATATAATATAAAAAACTTCAACATTTAGAAAGGAAATTTTTTGTTTTTTGTTGACGACTGAGAGAAAAAATGAAAAAGTGAAAAATGTTACAAAGAAAATCTCAAACTTTAACATGGAAAATGTATATCGAAGACTGGGAGTCGTCAGAGAGGGGAGAGAGAGAGAGAGAGAGAGAGAGAGAGAGAGAGAGAGAGAGAGAGAGAGAGAGAGGGGCAACATTTTCACTTGTACAAACTCCTGCTTGTTTTATGTACTTGTTGTTGTGTTACAAAACTTTACAAAATACGCCCTACTGAGCCTCGACTGTGTGTGTGTGTGTGTGTCTGAATACACACACACACACACACACACACACACACACACACACACACACATTGTCAACAAGATGATAGCCTTACAAGAGCAGCTAAAACCCCAAGTACCATAGAAATACCTGAATAATGACAGTCATTCTGGGATCCGGTTTTACCTATGAATGAGCTCATTATAGTGTGTGTGTGTGTGTGTGTGTGTGTGTGTGTGTGTGTGTGTGTGTGTGTGTGTGTGTGTGTGTGTGTGTGTGTGTGTGTGTGTGTGTGTGTGTGTGTGTGTGTGTGTGTGTGTGTGTGTGTGTGTGTGTGTGTGTGTGTGTGTGTGTGTGTGTGTGTGTGTGAGTGTGTGTGTGTGTGTGTGTGTGTGTGTGTGTGTGTGTGTGTGTGTGTGTGTGTGTGTGTGTGTGTGTGTGTGTGTGAGTGTGTGTGTGTGTGTGTGTGTGTGTGTGTGTGTGTGTGTGTGTGTGTCTGTGTGTGTGTGTGTGTGTGTGTGTGTGTGTGACTGGCTAGACAACACAAGGCAAGTCAGATGCTATATGTTAGTCCGGTTATCATAGCCTTTTAAGGTAATAAATGATGATAAGTATTTATTGAACCATTATATTCTTATAATCTAATTATTTAATATAGGTAATTTAATTAATCTGGTCATTAGTATCTGTAATGCGATAATTTATTTTATGTAATCTGGTTATTCAGTATTTGTAGAATGACTATGCATTGACATATGTATCATATAAACATAAATTTATACAGAGGGAATCTCTTATCATGATTGAAAAAGAAACGTGAATGATAAATATAAGTCTATTATGTATTTTGTGTATGTATCATTGGTTCTATGTATATTTAGTTATGAATACAGTATTTCATTTATATACATTTCTTCTATAAACACAATCAATTCATTATATACAAACACACATAATTTATATAATGAATAACAACTCATTTTTTCAACATGAATTTTTCTTCCTATATAATGAATCACCCTAACCTCTCACAGCGCCAGGGAACAAAGACCAAAAAAAAATACTCCTGTCAGTTCTCAAGTATGTATCAAGGAATGTCAATACGGAACGAATATCGAATCATACATATTCATAGACAGTGTAGGTGGGGGTTAGTGGGAGGGGGGAGTGGGTGGGGGTGGGGGCGGGAGTTTCCTGGTTCCCGTACACTTGGTATTCATGGTTCGGCCGTGATAAAAAAAAGCTTTGAGTATGTGGTGGTCGTAGTTGGCGATGTCCACAAATTTTGTATGGCTGCCTCGTGGTGGATGGTTGGGTGGTAGTGGTGGTGGTGAGGAAGTGTATTGACTGTGTGGAGAGAGAGAGAGAGAGAGAGAGAGAGAGAGAGAGAGAGAGAGATCTTAGACATTCACTGAAAATACCACAACAAAAACACAACCTACCACAACCAACATGATCACCACCACAATAACTTACCACAATCACCCACCCACAATGAAAAATAAACACAATGCCCACACATTCTTGTACCCACCAGTGCCTGACAGTCCTTGCCTTATTAATGCATTTTACGAGTTTCATTAAGCAACAATCAATGCTTCTCTCCGCGTTATATAGACACCCGGGACATGTGGCGGTGGCGTGGTGGTTAAAGCACTAAGTTGATAGCCAAAAAGAGGTTCCCTGGATCGACTCCACATTATGAACACGATAGAGTGATTTTGAGTGTTATTGTAGTGGGAGAATTTTGTGATTACAGTAGTGTGTGTGTGTGTGTGTGTGTGTCATAATGTAATCGTGTGCGTAATTATTAATGTAATCGTATGTGTAATTAGTAATATAATCGTATGCCTATGTAGTGGTGTAATCATATGTGTAATTTATGTAATCGTGTGTAATTGTTATATAATTGGTAGTGTAATTGTGAAGTAATGAGTTATGTAACCGTGTATGGAATTGTTAAGGTAATTGTGTGTGTGTGTAATTGTTCAAGTAACAATGTGTGTGTGTGTGTGTGTGTGTGTGTAATATTTCTCGTAATAGTGATATACTCTAAATGTTAATGTAATTCTGGTGTAATTGTTTATGTAACTGTGTATGTTTGTGTGTAATTGTGTATGTAATTTCAGCAGAGTATAACAAAACAATAAATGACTGGAAGCTTCGGTGTGTATACTCTTTAACACTATATACATTAATACAAATTCTGATGTATATTGGTCTACGTATTCATATTTCAGGTATAAACATCAAGTATTCAAACTCTGCGTGTAGTTAAGTGTGTGCCTAAGGGGTAATCATACACACTAATAGGCTAATTTTTTTCGTATAAATGTATGTTATTTCATGGTATATACACTAAGTAATCGGTTCGTGTGTGTGTGTGTGTGTGTGTGTGTGTGTGTGTGTGTGTGTGTGTGTGTGTGTGTGTGTGTGTATCTTGCCAAGAGAGTTAAGTCATTGTGTTTAATGGGTTTATAGTGGGGGGTGGGGTGGGGTAGGGGGGTGGGGGGGGTGGTGGGGTGGTGGGGGTGGTGGGGGGTGTCCTCAGTCTACACAGGTATATGGAGTGTGTTGGGGGAGGAGAGTGGGGGTTGTTATTCAGTCTAATGCCCCTTCTTCTTCTTCCTCCTCCTCCTCCTCTTCTTCCTCCCCCTCTTCCTCCTCCCCCTCTTCCCCCTCTTCCTCCTCCTCCCTCAGTCTATATTCCTTAACTCTGGTATTGATTATCGACTCGTGGGTACCAAGTCGACCTTCCCTTCCTTAGGTAAATAGAACCTCCGTTGTTAAAGGTCTGAGCTTGAGGTAAGTGGCATGGCAATTAAGGTGGGTCATGAAACGTGGATATTGGCTGCTTGTGAAGTATTGACGTGAGGGAGCTGTGGATAATGAGGTGACTTGACGTGACTGACTGGTTAATAGACTGTTGGAGAGTGATGGATAATGAGGTGACTTGACATGACAAACTAGGTGAGTCATTAACTGGTCTTGAAAGATAACCCCAGATAGATAGATAGATAGACAAAGAAGTAGATTAATAAGTAAACAAACAAATAAGCTTGTATCTCCGTCAGTTAATATACCTCCCAACATCATTCACTATTTTCAAACCTAATACAAAAATATTAAACTACTCCACATGATTTCGGATCCAACAGGCTCCTCCTTCATACATCTTTCATGAAACACCAACCAGGGTAGATTTAAAACTCCTCTTCCCACCACCACCTAAAACTCTTTGACTAGACCACCAGCGCGAGCAGCCAGAGGCATCATCCACCAAGCGGCTATGTTTACCGAGCCCTTGAGGCGAGAGGAGCGTGTGAGGAACTCGTGTTTATCCAGGCACGCCAACACTACCCCTTCTTCTCTCTCTCTCCTCTCTGTTCTCTCTTATCTCTTCTCTTTATCGGTCTCTGTCTCTCTCTCTGTACACCCTATTTTATCTCCTTGTAAAGAAGATATGTGTACTCTAACCTAACCTACCCTAACCTATCCCTAACCCTCTTCCTGTACTCATTATACATCATCTTCACCAGCTCAGACATCTACTCATTTTCTCAGCCATCTTCTTTATCTTTTTACCCATTTTAGATCTCGTCAAGATTTTAGGATATTCAGTGTGTGTGTGTGTGTGTGTGTGTGTGTGTGTGTGTGTGTGTGTGTGTGTGTGTGTGTGTGTGTGTGTGTGTGTGTGTGTGTGTGAAGAATACCTGGGGTAGGGTAGGTATTTTAAGGTGTTATTGTCTTTAATTAAACATCTACAGGTGTTTCTTGAATAAACAAAAACATATAAATAGACATAAATATACACACTGGGAAGATAAATATAAATTATGTTTGTGTGTAAGAGAAGTAATGTTTATATCACTATGGCGACCAGACAGTGAGGTGGTTCTCTTATGAGCGACGGTAATACATTATTGATGTTGTTTGGTCAAGACGTCGGTAGCGTTTACACTGAAGAGGCGGCAGAGGAGAAAGAAAACCTTTATGAGAACGTTGTATTCTTTTCTAAGGGGCGTTCCTTACTAGAGAGAGAGGGGGAGGGGTAAGAGAGACAGAGAGAAAAATCAAATATTACAACCACCTCCATCACCTTCACAACCATCAACACCACAACCAAGTCATCTCACACCTCTAGTATTACAACATCACGCCACACAGTCCAGCAGGCAGCCTAGTCAACACAGATCGGTCCTGACTCTACCCATGGCCAGCAAAGTTTTCACCCTCCCCCCTTCCTCCCTCTCCCCCCTCCCTCCCCCTCCCTCTGCCCTCCCTCTCCCCCCTCCCCCTCCTCTGCCCCCTCCCTCCTCCCTCCTCTCCCTCCCTCTCCCCCTCACCATCACTTTTGATAGCCTCGCCGTCAC